CATCACAAAGCCATGTTTACAAATGTTTGTCTGGGTTGGCTGGCTCTGTGATATTAAGAAGAGACTGTGGTATGAAAAATAAAGCTCCTGGTTGTTTTTGTTGTCTTTTACAAATGGATGGGCATTTCAAGCTATAGTGAATGGGAGCAAGAGAAGGTTCTCTTTGTGTCCTTCTTTTTGATTTAAGATCTCCAGTGAGTTAATTAGTCAGCTGTTAATGAATTACAAAACCATTCATAATTAGATACTGACTCCCCTCCTTCTGGGATCAGCACAAGGCAGGGAGTCTGACTCCCTTCTTAGTCATTTTGAAACTATTAGAAGGAAGAGATGTTTGCACAGACATGTGTCTGTGGTATGGTGTGCACCAAACTGGAACTTGAACACACTGGTACATCCCTCGCGTTTCACATCCCCATCTGTAAGTGCTGCACCTGCAGCTAATTAAAAGAAAGCTCAGTTGAACCGTTAGAAATGCACGAGTTCAACTCACTTGTGTAAGCTTTTCTTTCCTTGAGTACAGTGGGTCCTTGTGATGTGGCTTTTGCATAATTCTAAAATGATATTTGGCTTTTATCACATAGTGAGTAGAAAGAAAGATAAGGCAAATAGTGAGAAATGAAGTTTAGTTTTACAAGAGGGCCTTTTCTTTGTTCGTTGTATGGGAACTGCTGGGTCAGGGCCTGAACCCTGATTGATCACCTGAGGTGAGCCATGATCAGCCAGAGAAGCACAGGTGAAGGCAATTCACCCGTGCTGCTGGAAGGGGAGGAGCCTGGCAGCTCCATTTAAGAGCTGGCTACCAGTGGGGAAGGATCTCTTCTGGAGATGGCCTCTGCTGGTGTTTTGTGAGTGAGCCCAGGATAGGGGTAAGCCTTCTATTTATTCTCTTTGGTTGTCATAGTCTGCTTTGCCTAACTCTCTTGTTTATTTTGTGATTATACCATCCTAATATTCTTTGATTGTACGCTTGTCCACTTAAAACCATGGCTTAGTTATTAGGGTGCAAGAGAGACACTGCAGAGATGTGTGGTATGTGTTCATTCCAAGTGCAGATATGTCTTCACTCTAGCAGTGCTATACTGCCAAGTTAAGTATCATAGGATCACAGAATGACCTGGGTTGCAAAGGAGCACGATGCTCATCCAGTTCCAACCTCTTGCTGTGTGCAGGGTCGCCAACCAGCAGCCCAGGCTGCCCAGAGCCACATCCAGCCTGAGGTGGCACACAGATTCAGTACTCACATCCTGACAATGCTTTGCTCACGTGCTTCTGATACTGTAGTGCTGTCCTGGTGTGAATTGGTACCTTTGCACCTGACACCATCATTCAGTTCATTCCAAATCTAGAAACCACGGATAGTCAAGCCCATATGGGCTCTCAACCTGCTAATAAGCATTCCTTGGGAAAAAAACACGAGGTAATGATCTGCCTTGATATTCATGCAGACTTCAGTGTCTTTGCACTATGCTGGCACTTGCAGCACCCGTACCTCAGTGATGTGACTGCTGCAGCCTGTGACAGGCCATGGCTCACGCACCTGTCACTACAGGGACTCTCTCCCACCTGTTAAGGAACTGTAAGAAAAACTGAATAAAAGTAAATCCTAACAACTTCCATAGGGAAATCAAGATTTTAATTCCAGTCCCTTCCAGCTCTCTCTTATAGCCTTCCTTATCCAGCAAACCATGAGTGCTAAGGTAAAAGGGCGCAGTGTGACAAGGAGAAGCTCTTACCTAACTTCCCTTTCCCACCCCTTCCCTCTTTCACTATTAGTGGATTTTCTGTCTCACATTTCTACACTGGTTCCCTCCACCATGTGGATCCCCCAACAGACACCACTGACAGCTAACTTAGCAGGACTTATTTTACTTCCAAGGCTCTGGTGTCACGAGCTTTGGTTAAAGCTTTCCTCCCAGAATAAATGGATTTCATATTTATGGCTTCTTGATGGTTCCAGCACCTTCAGGTTGAATATTAGCATCTTGCAGGTTGTGTATTATAAGCTAACATGGTTTTGTGTCTTACAGTCCATGGTACACTTTTAGGTTTTTTGATAGAGATGGCACTCCATGGGAGATTTTTAGGTACCCAATTAGCTCAGGTTGGAGTCCCACAAATGCTAAAGTTCACTTTTTTGTCCCAACTTTTCCATGCAAAATCTGGCAGGCAGAAAGGCGAAAAGAATGAAAAGCTGATAATAATAGTCCAGAAATAGAGACAGTGGCATGAAGTTGTATTCAAATATGTCCTTTTTCAATGATAGAATGTTTGTTAAGTCCGGGTGGTCTACTGATTAACTCAGGAGGTTAAATATAGCACTTCTGATGTCAGTAAGCTTATCCACACAAAGGGCAAGACATAGAGAAGCCACATAAATCTCCAGCACAACAGTGTATTTTCAGTCAAACAGACGCAAGGTTGGATAGAAAGTCTTTTGAATCAAGAAGTCCTCTCTTTCAAGGAGCAATTGCCAGCTTGCAGTGATATGTACTGCCTGAGCTTCATGATGGGGGATCTAGCCTTGAAGAATTAAAATTCTTCTGTACTCTGATGTGGAATCCAAAGAGAGATGCACTGTAGAAGAAATAGAAGGGAATTAATGGTTAAATCAGTGCAGAAACGTTACTAACCGAGGGGTGGTTGTAGAAATCTACATTTCTGTCTTACAGGAGTGGAGATTCCCAGTGTGGTTGCCCTTTAGTCTTTACATATTGATCCTCCATATTTTGTCCTCTGTACAGATCAGGCTCCAGCGTTATGTCATGTATTTTTCATAGCTGGAATGCTGCCTCTCCAAAGGAACTTGAAAAGGCTCCAACTGTGGTTCTAAGGAAATATAAAAGGCAGTGTTTTTGTATGTAAATGCTGTGCGTCAGGGGAGCAAGTACGTATAGTCTGTTTTTTCACTGCTTTTATTATAGAACTACTAAATAAATCTAGAGAATGTTGCACGCTATTTCCTTCCTTTCTCCTTGCCAGAAGTGATTACTGTTCAATAATTAATAATGACTGAACTCAATATTTAAAAGTGCTAAGAAAATATTTTCCGCCTTATAATCTTGGGCAATTTAAATGCAAAATATCTTCCTCTGCCTCACTCATCTTGCACCGTTCCCAACTTTTAGTTCAGAACTGCTGAGTGTATACATACGTGTGTACTGTAGATAAAGCAGTCTGGTGTGCTAACCTGTATCCAACCTGCCACGATCTCCCAGCAGAACTTTCTTATTGCCTTTGAAATACTTGTTCTCTGGAAAGTCAGGCTCAGGCTGCTGCTTTCTGAATATTCCAGCAAACAGTGGCTTGAAATCCAAGGTGCAGACATAATTTTTCACTGGAAGTGGAAGCAATAAAAAAATAATAATAATATTAACCATTATTCTTCCATTTACCTCATGCATGTTCCACTTCAGCAAGTGATTCTTGCTGGTATTCCCTATGTATCATTAGAATACATTTTAAGAAGCCAGCATAGTAGTTATTTTCCACAGTGAAGATACATTTACACGTGTTTACGCATTATACATAAATACAGAATAACTTATCTATATTTAGTCAGGTGTGTAAATACCCCCTTACTGCTGAGTTGTAGGTAAACACTTCAGTGAACATTAAACCTACACCAAAAAAGAAAAGTTGTGGGCTTAGGTGCAAACCACAGAAAATGCAGTTTGTTGGTCCCTGGGACATGGAGTTAAGGAGCAGAATGGCAAATGCATAAAGTGTTACACGTCTAATCGAGGCAGCAGTTTGGAGGAAAATGACTCCATGAGTTATTTCAGAGATGCACAGACACAGGAACAGGGTTACAGAGCAAGAGATGGGGCTGACATTCCTCTAGTGGAAATCCATTAATGTGCTACAGTAAATTTCTGGATGTCTTCAAGAGGTGTTTAAAAAAAAAATGGAAGGATTTTTCTATAAACAGAAACAATAGTAAAAGGAGGAAGGATGGCCCAGTAAAGCAAAATGCAAATAACTGAAAGCACATGGCTTGCTTTAAGGAGAAAGAGAAGGACATACAGCCCAGCAAAGCGTATAAAATCCTTAGGAGCAGTAGATGAAACATTTCACCTGGATATAAATACTAACTTCTGCAAAGAGTTAGGGAACAAGAAGGTGCTTCTTATGGGCCTTTGACAATTACTTATTGAATTAGGTGTTGTAGTACATGAAAAGAGAAGCAGAGTGTTGGTATTGGCTTTTAAACGTGCTTCCATAAAGAGATAAAGCAATCCTGTAGTGATGGTGGGCCAGACAGATGATGTAAAAGGTCTCTTAGCATTACCATGATTCTGTTTCATTCCTGACCTTCCAAAATAATGCATTACAATTGCTTGTCACTCAATCTACTTAGCACCTATTCTTAGTCTTTCTTCAGCAGTCATACTGCTTTCTATTTATGCATTCTTCTGCGTGGTTTCATTTTTTCCTTTTTGGTGGTTGAACTGAACGATCTTGTAGGTCTTTTCCAACATTGGTGATTCCATGATTCTGTGTTCCTATGTCTGCTCATGAAACTACTGATATGTCATTTGCCTCAAATTAAATTGATAAAACTCTTTACATATGCTTAGGGGTGAAATTAAAGATAGACTTTTAGTACAAATTTGGTCCGAAGTCCAGACTCTTCTTTCCCTGATGTTCACGGATTCTTGAATTTGGACAGTTTTGATTCAGGTACCATTTAGTGTAGATCTGTTTTGTCCATACAAACTCATTCTTCTGACCAGTTCTGAAAAAAAAAAAAAGAAAAAGAATGCATTAAGCTGCCTTAGATTAGCTTTGGGATCCATTTCAGCAGAGACCTGCTGAAGTGTAGTCAAGCTATGGCATGTTTTTGCTTTCCCCGGGAGCACAGAAGTGCCCAGCTCCCTTTTCTGTCATCTTGCTGAGAACAGGTGGCCTCCTTTGGGGTCACCAAGTATATTTAGGGCTGAAATTGGAGCGGGCTGGAGCCGCATTGGCTGTGCCATCCACACGCGTCACCAGAGGTTGATGCACCAGGCTTGCTCTCGCCCAGCACTGCTCTAGAGGGAAGACTGGAGAGGCTCTGCTCCTAAGGATATTTACCAGATGTTGCTGGTAAGAACATTTAATCACATTTCACTTCTAGTTCTTGTCCTAGCTGTTTCTTGATTCTGTAGTTCTTTCAGAGTAGCAGTTGTGCATTGCCCATGGGACTCAGATTTTCTGTCCAGCTGAATAACTGAATGATTGGAAATTGCAGCGAGAGGAAAGGACGTGAAATTGTGTTTTGGAAATGCAGCTGGTGGTTGGAATAGTGACACTTGTATGGAGAGGCTCCCTAAGTGCAAGCCCCTGCTGCTGCTATATAGTTGTTCATAAACTTTGGCCTATTTTGTCATAGGACAGGACAGTGGATTGAGTTATCCTTCATTTGCTTTAATGGTTAATATTCTGCTTTAACACTTTCTTTTTTTCATTTCTTTTTTGTAATTTTTCTCAACACGCCAAGACTAAAAAGGGACAGTATTCCATGTTCCTATATTTAACCTGCATTACTAGACTTCACTTGCCTCAGAAGGAATTGCTGTTTAGCCAGCTAAACAAAACCACCTCGTCATTTGGCAGTATTAGCTTACACGGCAAGTATCTTTGGACTCAGAACAGCTGTTCCAAAGCCTCATCCCCTCCCAACATTAGAAACAGGGCTGTATTCTCTGGTGGAAAGTTGAACTGCGCCCCAAAGCAAAATCATTGTGTTAATTAATCAGTTCAGAGGGTTTTGACAGTCATCTGTATTTTGTAATTCAGCCAGTGTATGGATTTTTCATCTTTTCCAGGAATGCAGAAATAGAGAGAAAAAAGCTACGAGTTCAAAGAACCCAAAGCACCTGCATAGGCTAATGCTGGGAAAAGCAAAATTGCCTCATTAACTTAAGGTTGCTTAAAATATACATAGAGCCTCTTTATGCATTGCATTTTTACTTGTGCGTGCATATAGTAGAATATGCAGATAAAGCTCCCATCCAAAGAGGAGTTTTAATAATGCAACAACATTGTATGAAATAGCGATAGAGAAAAATCTTCCTATTACTTTGTTATAATGAAAAAAGTCAAATAATACTTCAAGAAATCTCGTCTCTCTGATTTCAATTTTTATTTTTTGCTTTTAATTTTCACTGATTTGATTTTCATTAATCCAGTGGCTCTCTACCGTCATCTGAAACAAAGTAATGGTAGATCCCAACTTTAATTTTTTATGTTGTTCAAGTTCTTCCCTTGATTAGCCAATAATGGTGTAATAATCTCAGTAGTTGCTAACCGTGACCTATGCACTTCAAGAACTTGACTTTAGCTTTTAGTGTGGGCTAATACTGTGTATTCACACTTTCATTTCCTGCATCACCAGTGAGCTGGGGAGAGACGGAAGAATACACTCAAAATGGAAGAAGAAGAATATGAGGAAGTTGTGGAGGTAAGAAGAAAATCTGAGAGTAGAATTTATTGTTTTCTGCCTCGTGAATAGGAATATTAATAACTTCTCCAAGATGCTGCTCATGAACATGAATGGTTACTCGTCGTTTGCTATTTGATGACTAGAGTATGATTAGATACCTATCAAATGGTTTGATAAGTAAAAGACAACAGCAACAAATACTTGCTATCGGCGGAGCAAAATCTCTCTGGTTCCTGTCATGGTTTGTGCATTTAAGTAAGGACTGTGACCATTTCACACCCCCACCACAAGGTTCTGTGGTTACTCTCCTGCATAATTATAGATGCAGGGGCCATCTCTTTCCCCCTTGGCTTGCCCTCTGTCATCCAATCCAAGGATGACGTTGGAAGCCCCTCTCTGGCCTGGCTTCTGCTTCTTCCCAGTGCAGTTTTCTCCTTCCAACATATCAGATGCCAAGATGGCGCTACACCTAAACCTGCAGATGTCTGTGGAGCCACGTCAGGCATTAATTAGTTGATTGGGCATTTAAACTAACAGTTTTATAACTAATTACTTAGTCTCAGTGACTGAATTAAAAGAATTCCCAAGAACTAGGGTAATTATAGCTTTCTGTGCCATTGAAATAATGCGTTTGCGATTAAAAGTGTATATAACATTAACAAAGACCTGCTACTTTACTGTTATTATGAAATGAAATTTTGTATTATGAAACGATTAAGTGGTTGTGACGAACTACTCAGCACTTATTTGAGGAAAGAAATACCTACCTACTGTAGGGAACCTGCTTTGGCAGGGGGGTTGGACTCGATGATCTCTGGAGGTCCCTTCCAACCCCTACAATTCTGTGATTCTGTGATAATGTACTGCACGCAGCCATCACACGACTCTTACCTCCGCACCAACCCCACCGGATCGCTGATTTCAGGCAGCATTCATTACAGCACTGGGTCCTGGCTGCCAGCTTCCAAAACTTCAAATAATTCATTAAGTCAAGCAGTTTACCAGCTAAACGTGTGTTGAGAAACAAGCATTACTGCTCATAACATCCATCTTTACACACACTGCGCAGCCCAGTCCAAAGGACAGCAGTCCTTCGTTGTTTCCCATTACGAAGTCCCTCGAGATTGACTTCATGCTTCCTAACTACTATGTGATCTCTGTGACAAAATATTTGTTTATTTCTGCCAATGCTTGTTTGTTTGTTGATGCTTGAATTACGGCAGGTTGGGCCTTAGGTCTACACAGGCCTGCCTCGTTTTTCCTTTATTATTATTATTTTTTTTCCTCCTCTGGGAAGAGTGCACTGAGCGCTGCAGCCACGTGTGAGGTTCCAGCGAACGACGCTGTTAGAGCTGAACAGCGGTCAGCGTGCAGGAATTACCTCAAAACAGCCGAACGAGGGGGGAACTTAAAACATGGGCAACCTCTCTGCTGCCCACCGCGGCGCTCCGAGCGCACCTTGACGCGTTTTTGCGGTACCGAAGCAGAGCGGCGCACGAACCCCAGACGGCGCCCTTCAGCGCCGCCGCCATTTGCCGCCAGGAGCGCTGTCCCGGTGTCGGCATGGCGCCACCGCGCGGCCGCCATGTTCGGGGTGGCCGCCATGTTCGGGGTGGCCTCGGAGGGACCGGGGCAGGTGGCGGGGCGGAGCGGGGCGGCAGCACGGTCCCCGGTTGTGAAGAGGCTCTGGCTGCAGCACGGCCCGGCAGTTGCTTCGTGTGCATTCTGTTTCTGGCTACGACGGGGAAAGGCGGAGAGCAAAAGCGCTGTAACCATCATGGCGTGTCTTCTGGGAGATTTGCTCTGGTCTGTTGGCACCGCAGGGTGCTTGGGTAAGAGTCGAGCAAGGATTTGTGTTGTAAGGGCTGGCAGTGCCTTTGTGATGAGAGTCTGAGCCATGTGTGGCAAAAATGGCATGCTAGCTGGAAACCCTGCTTAAACGACGGCTTCAAGATGAAGAGGGGGAAAAGCTGCCTCTGCAAAAGGAGGAAGGCTGATTATTCACCTGCAGATCTGCTTCAGAGCTCTGCCTTATTTAAGCAGCTGGACAAAGCCACGCAGGTGGCCTTAATCGCCTCCCATGTCGGCTGGAAGGGCTGTGTGGCTGTGCATGGTGAGCTTGGAGATTTCTGGAATGTGCTGAAGACAAACTTCTCGATGCAGATGGCTGACGAACTGTCTAGGGGAGATGCTGTGCTTGAATGTGCCGCTTGAACAGGAAGGAGCAGGTGGAAGATGGAAAGGAAGATGGAAAGGTTGGTGGCAGCCTGGGCTGCAGAAACCAAGATTGTGGAGCTGAAGACTTGAGAGAAGCAAGCGAGGCAAACAGAATTATAATCACCGATTCCAGAAAGGTAAATTAGAGCCTGTGCAGGGCCCTTCTTGGGAAGATCTCTTGAGAAAAGTCCAAGAGAGTTGGGTAATCTGCTAGAACAGTTTCCTCAGGGCAAAAGAACTGTTCATTTGAGTGTGCAGAAATCAAGTGAAGGCTGATATGGATGAACAAGCAGCTCCTGGCTGAGTTCAGACACAAAAGAAGGTGGGAATAGGAGCTGAGTACTTCGGAGGAGTGCAGATGGAGATGTAAGATGTTAATAAGTGCATTCCTGTATGCATGGGCAAACCAGCAAGGGATGTGCAGAGCAGCAGGAATGTGTTATCATTGGCAGTGAGAGGGAAGGTAAGACTGTGGGACTGTAGTTCAGTGGACAGAGACCCTCAGCATATTGCTTAAAGGTTTTTTTTTTGGTTGTGGGTATTTTTTTTTTTTTAAATCAATTTTGGTAAGCTTTATTCTTTATTCTCTGGTCTTCCAGGTCTCTGATTCTTAGTAGAGATGTGGGAATGATGCAGTATCCACAGTAGAGGAAGACAGAGTTAGGAATGGCTTCCCCAGCTGGGATGTGTATGGTTCCAGGGGACCAGAGGGGATGGATCAGGGGTGCTGAGGGGTCTGGCTGATGTCAACGAAAGGCTACTGTCTGTAATCTTCAAAAGTTCATTGTACTGTGGGGAAGTTCCTGATAATTGGAAAAAGCCTTGTTATACCCAACTTCAAGAAAGGCAAGAAAGAGGATCCAAGGAGAAACTGAACTTGAATCCTTAAGAAGGGTATGGAGAAAATCACCTAAGAAGCCATTTTTAAATGCATGAAGAGCAAAGTGATGGGGAGCAGTGAATATTTGTTTATTGAGGGTGGATCATGGCTGACCAGACTTGGTGCTTTTCATGGTAATTTTACTGTGGCTGTTGATGAGGAAAGAACAGCAGTTGATCCGTACCTGGACTGCAGAAGGAGCACTGAAACAGTCATGTAATCTCACTGAATTGATGAGATAAGAGCTGGATAAATGGAAAATTAAGTGAGTAGAAAATTGGCTGACTGCAGAGCTCTGAATTCTGATCAGTAGAAGGAAGTCTGACTGGCAGCCAGAAATGGCTGGGGTCTGTCATGGAGCTGTGCAGATCCTCATCTGTAGGTAGGAGCAACTCTGAAGGCAGCCTTGGAGAGAGAATTCTCTTACAGTCCTTTGGCATATTGCCTAATGTTTGGGAAGTCCTGTTCTACTGGATGCTTTCTTTCAGTGTGGTCATCGTCTGCCTTTGTTATGGATCATTAGATAATGGTCCTTCATTAATTAATTAGGAGGAAGATCAACTAAGGAACATAAGGAATAAATCCAATCAGTGCAAAAAAATAATAACGGATCTTCAGGACTTGATAACATCTTTACAAACTGCAGTCTTGATTCTCCTGAGGTGTGTTTTTAAAACAGTCTTTCTAAGAGAGAGAACAGTTTGCTATTCTGTATGATCTGTCCTAACGATGATATTTTTTTTCTCCTTTCTTTAATAGTACTACATTGAGGAGACAATTGTTGAGGAGGGTGAACCATATGAGGTAAAGGTTCCTGTGAAGTTGAATGCGATTGATATATGCATTAATTACATTCTATATGTAATTAATGTGTAATACTAAACTAGTGGCCTTTTGCATTCTGAGGATCAGTTTTCCATAGTGAGCACATAGGTATCAGTTGCTTTCAGTATCCTTTATTTCCTCTTCAAGACCTTCTTGTGGGCTGGCCAAGAGGGCTTCTAGCTTTTTTTGAGTGTCTGTCCCATCTGTTTTTTTAGATTTGCATTTGGGATTCAACCTGGATGTGCACTGTTTGCCACTGTTTGTCCTCCATCAGAAGGAGCTGAGGATGTGTCTGATAGAAAAGGACAATGCCAATTTCTTTCCTGCTCTCTGTCTTGCTGATGCTCTTCCCTTTGCTGCTGGCCAGCAGCTAAATTTGCACAGGAGCTGACAGAATGAAGCAGCAGGTTATGTTATTTAACTAGAAAGTCAGGCAGAAACATTACTTAGGTAACATATTGGCAAAATCTAATCATTAGTGTTAAAGATGAACAGAATTATTGAGGATGTGAGTTTGGCTAGATATGTATGTATGGATAACAGGGCCCTACTGCACTGTATGCAGCTTGTTAGGAAAAGGAGCATGTAGAGATTCTGCCTGAATCTAGTTTGTGTTATCAGTTCTTTTCCTACTGCAAAGTGGTGAAGATTTTTGTCATGTGACTGGTAACAAATATATGAGTTACCATGGAGTCATTACCATCATTTGTAGCTCTACTGATAGTATAGATGTAAGCAACTCTTTGCTACCATTACATGTTTTTTATGGCATAGGCTTATGCTGAAGCGTAATCTTAGCAGTTCCTTCCAGACGAAGGATCTGGTCCCAAAGTTTTACTATAGTTTTAATTTCATATAATATGATTGATACCATCTGAGCAAGTAATTGAAGGCTGCGCTTTAGAAGCAAGCCTGTCATTTTTAACTGCTGCGTTCATCAGGTGTTTTAAAATCCATAGCCAGACTGGATTTAAAGGGAGCAATAGCACAACTATTTCTGTGTCAGATCTGCCTCAGATTTTGAAAACAGTATTGTAGAGTGAAGAATCACATATGTAGAGTGAATGTCTTTTTAGCTGATGTGGTTGGATGTATTTCCATCAGCTGTAAGTGCAGTTAATAGCATTAGCATCATGCGGGCCTAGGAGTTATCTTAGGAAGGTAAAAGGGAGGAGTTTTGTTGTTTGTTTTTTTAACTCTTTTCAGAAGGAAGCCTCTCCAAGCTTTAGAAATATGCTACAACTTCTCAAGAAAGCGTGTAGATTCACTGCTCTGTTATGAACCTAACATCAAGTAACGCTTTTCTGAATCTTGCCTAGGCAGGTTTCAAGCTGTGCTGTGCTTTCAGTGCCAGAACTTAAACGAACACTTGCTCACTTGAAATGAGTTGGAAGAGATTAATCTGTTGTGGTGCAGAAGTAACTATTAACATCCTGACGCGTCATTAGTGAAATGTAATTAATGTTCATGTAATAAACAACCTTTCTGTAATTTAAGTTTTGTGTATTTGCCAAGTTAATATTTAATGCTTGGTGTATTTTCTTTTCATACTAATGTAAGTAACTGTCGGATATCTGACCTTCATGCATTCCTTTTCAAAGCATTTGTTTTGTTTAAGCTATTGATTATGAAATAAAGCTTGATACTTTGTTTTTCAGATAATTTCAGAGCACATTTTTCAGCTGTAATAATTATTTTAACATGCTTTGGATTAGAACCTTCATATTAAAATGATCTCTTACTGCACGGTAAAAAAGTATATGAGTGATTTAAATTAATTGTGGTCTCCTTTCCAGTGGATGCTTGATCAAATGAATATATGTGCATCTCAACTATATCTTTGCCATGATTATGATCTGACTGTGAGAAAATGTACATTAGTAGAAAAGGTGGATTCCAGGCATTTATTCAGTCAGGTGCATCACAGATTTGCTGCAGGATCCCAAAGACTTGGGATCTGCAGCGTCCATTCCTTTCACAAGAAGAAGATGATCATTGTGGACGACTGTGTGCACCTCTGACCTGCTTTCTCAGCTTTCAGTATCGTCATTAGGAAACCTGGCTGTGTGATGTCTGCTTCTTCAACACTGAGAGCACCTTTCATGCTTTGGTTTTGGTTGTAGGTGGTCCCATCTGAGAAACCACCTCATGCCAGTGAAAGCTGTGCATGTGGAACACAGCCCCTGCTCTTCCTGCTCCTTTGGAGAATAATTGTATCAGTTTGATGCAAAAATCAACCAGTTGTTTAATTCCTTGTACTTTTTCAGTTTGACTCGTATGTATAAAGTAGGCATTGCTGGGTCATCCCAGGCAGAAGTAAGTGTCACAACTTTGGTACACCTTAGCTGGTTTGGGGATAAGAACTGAGCATCCTTCTGTATCAGAGGAAGTGAAAAAAGCTTAAAATAAAACTGTGATTTATAATTAAAACACGTTTATTTTTTTTTCTCCACTCCCAGGTGGTCACTGAGATCACTGAGAGCAGTAGCACAGAATTCACAGGTCCCACAACCGTCACCCATACGATTGAGTATGAAAAAACTTCTGGTGAGGAACCGGCAGCAACTCCGATCAGAAAGAAGACGATACGGACAAAAGTGGACTCTTCTAAGTTCTTGACACCTTATCTGCAGCACAGTAATAAAATGAAGGACCTGTTCAGTGAGGTGAATTATCCCATGTCCTTTACTTGTTTAGAAACACCAATTTTGAAAGCATCTGATAGGTATTGTTGCGATCCTTCATGCTGTTTTGACTTCTTCTGTACTCCATCACGTGTGTCAGTGCCGTTTGCTTGAAGTAGGAAGTTTCCTTCTTTCAATTAGCTCATCTCTTGCCTATTTCCTGCTTACGTGCATCAAGTAATCTTTAGACACAAAAAGCCTGTGGCAGATACCTGAAGATTTCTCTCAGATGTCAGTTAAGATGTCTCCTGTGCTATCTGACTTGGATACTTAAGTAAGGAAATACAGAGGCTACTGTTTATTGAATAGTGATCCTCAGTGTTTTGTACAGCAGTATGTTTCTCTATCCCTCTCTGTATCCAAGAATTATTTTGTGCACAGTATGTGGGAACAACGCCTACCCAAATTCCTGGTATGGCATATCAAATTCCTGTATTACTGTCCATTTTACTGTGTTTTTGGCATGGAAATAACTGCTGTGCAGGTGTAAGGTGGTGTCAGACCTTTTTTCCTACTTTTAACGTGTGATGCCTACCAGTGTTTGCTGTTGAAATGTTATATGAGATCGTATGTCCAAGATTGCTACTCTCACCCCAGAATGTTCTTTGGTCACTGAAACAAGTAACTGAACGTATCAGGGTGAGATGTGTAATGCAAATAAACTCAGAGGTGATCTAAAGCAGGCTGAAGGTAGAAATGGATTTTTTCTGCTGTGTCAGATGGAAGAAAATCAGTTGGTTAAAATAAGCAGAACTGTGCAAATGTATTTGTGTAATGACAGCTTGTATTATTCAGTGATGTGCCCCAAACTCCTATACTAAACAGATGAATACATCAAAAATTACTGTTTGCGTTTCTGCCAGAGCTTTAGGATGTGTCTTAATCACACTTGTCGTTATTTTCTTTCAGAACAAGTACAAAGAAAAGTTTAATAAAGAAAGAGGAAAGCCATATGCTTCCACAGTTGATACGCCAGAAATTCGGAGAATCAAGAAAGTGCAGGATCAGCTCAGTGAGGTAGATATCAAATGTGGTTCTGTCTGCAGTTCCAGTCTCCCTTTAATAGTGCACGTCACAATTTGGGGAACTAAAATCCAAAGCATCTTAATTCTTAGTAGAGTAAGTGGAGAGAATTGGGTCTCTGGGAATAGGAACTCCTGGAGCTGAGTGGGGAGACACCTAAGCAGTGTGCAGGAGATGGGTAGCCATTAGATTTTGCTCAACACCTGGCTTAGGATCTATTGAGGAACGTGATGCAGCAATCCCTGTGCTAAAGCTGACTGAGCCTGCTGTCAAGCTGGGATTGTTGTAACAGCATTAGAATGATTTTGTGCTCCATCTACTGGTTTGCCGTGGTGGTGTGACTGCTGTATTGCTTTCGGGTGTACGGTCCGTGGTAATGGACTGTGAAATTAAGAGAGATGAAATAGCATGGGGATTTCCATCTCCTCATACAGGTGGAAGCACTCTTAGGAAGAGCTCAGATTATAGGCTTACACTCTAGCTTGGATTCACAGCTCGTGACGTTGTCTCAAAGCTGCGTTTCTTTTTCAGCTAACTCACAAAATCTGTTTGTTTCTCTGGGTGTTATTTCTAAGCAACAGCTAGTCCATGGTAAAGGTTAATGACATGCCTAAATCACTCAATGCGGAATCTTTGTGTTATCAAGTTTCAGAATGTCAGTATTCTGCTTTAAGAGAACGCTGGTCAGTGTTAGCTTTAAGTACAGCTGTGGTTTGCTGTGCACTGCTCTAGGTGAAATACCGCATGGCTGGGGAAGCTGCTCGAACTATTTGCCACGTTGATGAAAAGGCCTGGGATATAGAACATGCAAAGAAGGTCTCTCAGCAAGTGAGCAAGGTGAGTTTTGGCTTACCAGAAGGCTTGTGAACGTTAATGGATCATGAAGTTACTGATAAAAGCAAGATTTTCACTTCAGGACACTAAAGCAGTGTCTATAGAACAGTTTAGAAGCTCAGGGGGGAAGGCCAAATAAGTTGATCAAGGCACTTATAAATATCTTAAATGTTTCCAATTCATATTTTTAAAGTCATTAGTATGATACCTTCACTTTGCAAAAAAAGCCTTCCATCAAGCTGTTTATTAACTAATGTAAATATTTTTCTAATAAGAGAGTAACTAGCCTGCTGATCTTTCTGTCCAGGTGTTATATAAACAGAACTGGGAGGAGAATAAGGACAAGTACTTACTTCCCCCTGATGCCCCAGAGCTTGTAAATGCAATAAAAAATACAGCAATGTTCAGTAAGGTAAGAAGAATCACCGATTTGGTCAGATGGAGTTCAAGAAGCATTCCAAGACAAAAATGAATTCATTCTCTATTCTGCCATTTTTCTGTTTTAAGAAACTCTATACAGAAGACTGGGAAGGAGACAAAACATTGTTCTATCCGTACAATGACAGTCCAGAGCTCAGAAGGGTGGCACAGGCTCAAAAAGTTCTGAGTGATGTAAGTATCAAGGCCTGGTTGAAAATTGGATCATGCTACAGTGTAACTTCTTGCTGGCAGGACAACCGGAAATGGTTTGAAGTTGAAAGAGGGAAGATTGAGGTTGGATGTCAGGGGGAAGTTCTGTGCTATGAGAGTGATGAGGTGCTGGAACAGCTGCCCAGAGAGGCTGTGATGCCCCATCCATCCCTGGAGGTGTTCAAGGCCAGGTTGGATGGGGCCCTGGGCAGCCTGGGCTGGTATTAAATATGGAGGTTGGTGGTCCTGTGTGTGGCGGGATGGTTGGAGCTTCATGATCCTTGAAGTCCCTTCCAACCTGGGCTGTTCTGTGATTCTGTGAACTTAAGAGGCTTCTGGCTGGACTCTGTAACAGAACAGAAGATAAATATGCATAGATGTGCGCTGATAGCTCTGAGAGTGGTGGTGTTTCTATAGAAAAGTGAACGCTGTTTATTAGAGTGTGTACCTGTTGGCTTTTTAATGTTGGATTATGAGTGAAAGAAATAATTTAAGACCTCAGGTAACTGGTAAGACCTCAGATACCTCTCAGAATGTGTTGAGAAGCACTCGGGGTTGGCTGTAAGCCCAGTAGCCCTGTTTGCTGGGCCCTGTGAAGTATCTGCAGATCTGTATGATAAAAAAAACTCAGTAGTTCATGAGCTATGCTCAGCATTGCTATTTGCTGATACTAAGAGGAAAAGAAAACAGACACAAAACTCTTTCACTAAGTATTTCAGGTGTTATATAAAGATTTCAGGTGTCCAGTTTATCACAAACATCAGAGTAGTAGACTTGAAAACTTTCCTAGTGAACTTTTCCATAGTCCCCCAGAACACATTGATTGAAAGAGATTATCATTCTTCTGTGAACAGAACTACTTTTGTAACTGGTGGCATTAGCAGAGGTAACATTAAAGATGATGTTACTATTGCAGTGGGCAGTTTCTGTAAATGTTTACTTCTTTCCTATTTCCAGATTGTCTACAAAAAAGGGCACGATGAACGAAAATCTAAATATACTTCTCTGCCAGATCCACCTGATGTGGAACAAGCCAGGAAAGTGACGAGGCAGCTGAGTGATGTGAGTAGAATGCAGTTCTCTTCCTTCAACAGAAATTTCCATTTTGGAATTAGGCAAAAAAAGGTACCAGAGAGCAAAAGAAAAGTCCAGACTTCAAGATCTCTTTGATTTTTTTCAGGAGTGAAAGCCAGCTTTTACGTTTGCTTTCTTTTTTAGAACATCTCAGAAGCTCCTGTCCAGTCTCAAGTGAAAGACAAAATTTCATTCTTATCAGCAAATCTGGGTTTCATAAAACATTTCTGCTTCTCTCATGCACGCATCAGTTCCTGTTCTTCCTTTTGTAAAAAATATCTCCTGCATTGCATTTTAAAGTGCAACATAAAACATCCATTTTACTCCTCTCTTCAAAATTAACAGTGAAACACAAGTATGCATCTGGTCTCAAAATGAATTACTTGCTTACAAGGAATAATCCCAGTTTGCTGTTAAGTTGGATATCTGATCTTTGAAGGTGCCTAAGTTGATGGCAGAGAAAACCTTTTAAAAGTTGCTGTCAGTGTCAGATCATTGTCCACATACGTATCCCATGCGAGTTCATGGGTACTTGTGGAAATTAGTAACTCTTTCCTGATTTGCACACTGAATTAGCAAGTAATATTCAACAGTAAATTCCACAGCTGTATGGCATGACTAGCAGTTCATTTTACATGGAATAGAACAGCTGAGGAATGCAGGAGGTGAAGTGAAATAGAGGAAGATCAACTTTTGCTGGAGAAATTGGAGCTAAGTCGTATGAACTCTTGAGCCAGAAGGTTTTTAGTTCACTTTGAAGTTTAGTTGTGGTAAGGAAGAAATGCCTGATTTTTGTTGCTGTATAGTGGATATTATCTGCTGTTTCAGATGAGGGATAAGGGTATCTAGTGAACTCATCTGAAAGGTGACAGAAGGTAATGTGTTGTTTAGAGGAATTTTCTTGTACCTGAGGTAGCTCAGAAGCTAAATTATCATCAAGATTTTATTTTTTCTTGCATGGGAGAAGCAAGAAGATCAGTGTGATTATTCTTGAAAAGTAATAAATAATAAAATAAATATATTAATAAATATATAATATATAATATATATTTATATATATATATTATATATTATATAATATATATATAAAATATAATAATATAAATATATAATATATAATAAATAAATAATAATAAAAAAAAACATAGTAACCTCTACATGTATCTTCAAACAATAACATTCAGAAAAATCTTTTTTGACGTGTACATTCTTAATCAGTGTGATACCAAGTTGTGCTTTCTGTGATGGGGAGAGCAACTGTGGTGAAAGTGCCTTTGGAACACAGTGAAAAGGCAGGAAGATTTTTTGTGTAATTAAACAGACAGTCACTGCTTAAGTAATTGTTCAAACACTTTAAACTTCAGTTTGAACAGTTTATACTTGATTTCCATTACTCTGAACCTAGTCTGATAGAAATCACATGTACCAGAAAAGCCATGTATAGAAAGGACTTTCCATTTCTGTCCTATAACAGGTTTCAGAAGCAGTGACAGTGAATTCTAGTTCAGTTTTTGGGCAATATTATATTCCAGTGTTGTGTGAATAGTGAGACAACTGAAGGAATTTGGTAGTGATATCCCATGGAGAGTGTATCTTATTAGTCTTATTATTTATCATTTGGAATAGATGACTTATTTATTATGTACATCCTTTTTAGTCAGGAAACTTACCAAAATAAATGAAAACTGAATGCTAAGGTCAGACTTCACGTGGTTTTGACAGTGCTGATATAAAATAGGAGGCATCCTTAAAAAGAAGGCTTCTAAGTGAAAATTGAGCTGGAGATTAAGTATTATTTTTTCAAATTTCATTGCAGGTTATTTATCACGAAGACTATAAAAACAAGATCAAAGGCAAGTGGAGTCAAACTCCGTGCTATGACGTTGCAATTGCAAAAATGAATGCAGAAAACATAAGCATGGTAAGTCAGTTCTTCAGAAGATCTTGAAATGAACCCCTTTATTTTGTGCATGTGCCAACGTGGCAAACACTGATCAGATTTTCCTCCGTCTCTTGTTGTGTTTCTCTTTTTCTATTTAAGCTTCTTAATGGGTGGCTAATTTATAATGCAGCTGCATTTGATACGTTTGGTACATTTGATACCTGCTTTTCTCTGTTCTTAACAGAAAAAATACCAGGAAGACTTTGAAAATGTGAAAGACCAAATCTACTTTATGCAGACTGAAACTCCAGAATATGAAGCTAATAAGCGAGTTTCAGAGAATGTCAGTAAGGTACGTCCTTCTGCCTGCTCCCATCTGCAGAGCTGGAGTGTCGTTCTGAAGTCAGTACAGTTTGTACTGAGGCTGTTTTGTCAGCTGTCAGAAATATTTTCTTCTGTGCAAAAGATGCATTCTCGTGTCTCTGCCACCTCAAAGCTTTCAGTGATTCCTACCCATGCTTATGATCCTCTGCAAGGGTACCTGTGAAGTATTCTCTTTCATGGAGATGGAGTTTGCTTTGGTTTGCTCTTACTGTATTATGTTACCTGGTTTTAGTTGGAATAGATCAATACTGTTAACCTAGCTGAATCTGGTTTCATATTTTCAGTTATTCATGCTTTCTCAGTGTATCTCAGTGATGTTATACTGGCATTTTGTTAGGAATGCTGGATTTGCTTGGCTTCTGCAGTTTCTGTAACAGCATTTGCATCAGCAAAGACGAGGATAATCTTCTGTCATTAGCTTTTAAGAATGTAGTTATTCTAATATGTCAACTGGTAGTTAAAAAGTCAGAATGCTTGGCAAGGTCAGGACATCTAATTAATAGCTATCAATTATCTTTCAACTCAACCTCTCAGCTGGTGATCCCTGCACTGCTGTGATCTGAGTGCTTCTCATGGTCCTTTGCCTTTCTGAGTCATGAGTTAAAAGCAGGTGGAGACCTTTCAGAAAATTTCAAGACAATATAAGTTAGTGAGTGTTTGGCTTTTAATATCGATTTTAAAAACCTCATTATTTTTTGTCTTTATTTTTGAAAGATAAAATACAGAGCAGACTATGAGAAGAACAAAGCCGTTGCAGATTATAACGTGCTTCCTGCTACAGAGAACCCACTGCTGAGGCAATTAAAGACTGCAGGAGATGTCCTGAGTGACGTGAGTATTACCAAAGCATAGCAGCACAGATGTCAGTCATGTACAGTAAACCAAACCCCAAACTGATCATTTCTTGACTTCTCCACTGAATTTCTCAGTATTTTTAGTTTTATAAATGTAGTATTTTTCAAGAGATCCTACTGACCAGAATGGTTTCACTGTAAGGAGTCATTTCCCCACAGCTGAGTGTGATGTGCTATGGAGATAGCTAATGATTGCTCTTTTATAATCCTTTGAAAAATGGATCAGAAGGTGGGGGTTCTTCCTTAGCGCTTAGAACTTCAAGTGCTGCCTGCAGTGATAAAATATGTACTCCTAGGTATTCACATATACTGTTATTTTTGATACCACTTCAGGAATGTATTGACATTCTTGATTACTCTCTCGATGTTTTCATCTGTTTGGAAAGACACTTCAGATTGCTCAACATCAGACATTCAGAAATGATGAGTCAAACCTTCATGTCTTTCCTAACAATCCTAGAAGCCACTAAAAAGAATTAAAAATTAATATTCACCATTGTAATTTATATTGTAAGTGCATTTCAGTTCAGTCTGCTTTCTTATCGTTATTATATCTATTATTATCTATATTATATTATATCTAATGTTATTTTCTTTTGCAGAAATTATACAAAGAAGCCTATGAGCAATCCAAAGGAACAAGCATAAACTACTGTGAAACACCAAAGTTCCAGACTGATAGTGCTCTGAAGAATTTCAGTGATGTATGTGTTGCTGAGTTCTTATCTTTCCTTACTGGCACTCTTGATTGCTTTTCTTTATCAGCTTGTGATTGTTTTTCCAGGTGAAATACAAAGATGCTTATCAGAAGAATATCTTGGGACACTATTTGGGCAGTTTTGAGGACCCGCATCAGATCCACTGTATGAAAGTCGAAGCTATGAAGAGTGATGTAAGTGTGGCTGTCATTCTGTTCTTGCCATCCTGTTTTAATTTGGAGAAAGCTCAATTCTGTTTTCTTATGGAATGTTCATTTTATCCCTAGAAAAATTACAAAGCGGATTATGAGGAAGAAAAGACAAAATGCTACTTCCCTCAGACCATAACTCAAGAATATGAAGCTATTAAGAAGTTAGAGCAGTGTAAAGATGTAAGTATAGGGCAGTGGTTATCAGATAGCCAATTAAATGCAGGGCATCTGCTCTGAGATGTCTGAAAGCTTACAGTGATTCCTGTTAATTTTTGAGCGTGGTTTTCTTGGCATAGTGACTTTCATAAGCCATGTTCACCTGTATTTTAGAAGTCTTTTGTGACACCTAGTGATCAAGACAGTTATAACAGCATCTAACAAATAGAACCAAATAATTACAACAGTAACAAAACAAACAATGACCCTCAAGCATCTACTTGCTTAAGTCAGCATATTTTTACATTAAAGCTTTTTAAAATGCTTCAACATACTGTGGTTATTTTATTAGTACAAATTGTAATTATTAATACTTGAAAGTATTTTAAAATATGTATTTATGTGTAATATTTTATATTTCATATCATTTATTATCTGTGGTAGTATTTATATACCTTCAAATATTTTGTGTTTATACTTTTAAAATACTTTAAAAGTTTATTTGGGCTCTGATAGTGTTAAAAAGTAACATCAGAGTTATTGTGCAGGACAGTGCTTATGTGCACCATTCATAAGTGCCAGCTATCCCCAGTAATGCTACATCACTGTGTGTTATTTAACAGGAAGCTGTGCTTATGTACACTTACAATGAATGTTTTTATTATTTACCCTCAGCACACCTACAAAAAGCATCCTGATCAGATCAAATTTACTCAAGTGACTGACTCTCCAGTGCAGAAGCAAGCAGAGATCAATAGCAAGCAGCTGAGTGATGTAAGTGAGCATACCAGACATGTCACTGTACTGTGAGACCACACGTTTCTGCACTGCGGCCACTTTCCAATTTTAACACAATTCCTGAATTGAAAGTATAGGTGAAGATGGGTGTGTATGTATGCACAGACATGGACAAGGACACTTATGAAGCCTGTTCCAGTGAAAGCCCTCCTGGAAATCAGGCTTCTTAATTGCTTTTTTTTAAGGAGGTGTAAATGTCATAGAATCATAGAATCACCAAGGTTGGAAAAGACCTGTAAGACCATCCAGTCTGACCCTCCACCTATCACCAATATTCCCCACTAAACCATGCCCTCAGTACAACATCTGAATGTCTCTTCAGTACCTCCTGGGTCAGTGACTTTCCCCACCTTCCTGGGCAGCCCATTGCAGTGCCTGACCACCCCCTTCTGAAGTATTTCCTGACATCCAATCTGAATCTGCCCTGGCTCAGCTATTTCTATTGCTAGTTACATGGGAGCAGAGGCTGACCCCCTCCTCATCCCCTCAACACCTCCCACAACCTCCCTGCAGGAATTATAGAGAGCAGTAAGGTCATCCCTGAGCCTCTTTCTTTCCAGACTAAATAATCCCAGTTCCCTTGACTGCTCCTCATAAGGCTGTGCTGCAGAGCCCTGAGTAAAGACCTTTCTGAGCGAAGGACTGCACGAGGCATTTAGGGCTTGTTTCTTCCATCAATAAGATCAATAATCCTGTATGAAAAGTGCAGTCTCCATCTTTATGAGATAAGTGGCAACATACATTTGCAAAAATCAAACCTGAATCCTCAACTGATTCACAGTGAACTGGTGCTGCTTGTACAAGGAAAGAATTTATTTATGTATGATGTATTTTACAGAAACTCTACAGATCTTCCGGAGAAGAAGTGAAACATAAATACACTCTCCCCCCAGATGTCCCACAGTTTATCCAAGCCAGATACAATGCTGCAAATGTCAGTGATGTAAGTGATGACTTTATGATGTTTTACACATTGCTCTTGAATTTTTGAGGATCTTACAGATGTGCTCATATTGCAGATTTCTTTCACTGATGCACAATTCTTTATAATCAACTTATATCACTGTAATTTTTCACTCTTGGCATCGTTTGAATTTCCAAGCAAATCCCAGCTACTCGTGTAATCATGTAATTAATTTAGTTTAATTCATAAAGAAGTAATAAACACTAAAGGAAGCATCTCATACTAAAGATTTGTCTGGAGTAGCTTTTGTGTAGCTTTTATTTTCTTATAATTCATTTGAATAGTAGGTTCTCTAGAATAATACTGGTTTTCTTTTTTAGGCCTATTATAAACAGGACTACCACGATCTAATAGCTAAAGGGACCAACGTGTCACTTGATGCTATTCCAATTACTCGAGCAAAAGCATCAAGAAACATTGCTAGTGATGTAAGTATCTATCCCAGGTACACTTGTTTTAGGCATTTAGTAAAAATGTCAACCACTCCAGGCCATGTGGTAGACCATAAATATTCCATGAGTCTCACTAGAGTCACTAATGTGAGAAAGACATTCTCAGTCTTCTCAAAGTGTTGGTTTGTGTAAAACATCTTTTATTCTAATCATATTTGCTTTAGATAAGCAGCTGTTACTGTGTTTCCTAAACCACTGTTCACGGGAGAGATGAAATCAGTAGTTCTTGCAGTCATTTGCTGACAGATTTCCAGTGAATTAGCTACATTAGCATCTGCTTAGACTGTGAGACAGTATATACTGAGGTAGTTTTGAGGTAGGTGGATGAGTACAGCTGATAATTGAATTGGAAGCCATGTAGCACAAATTGATGAAGTAGATTATGATTCGGTGCTTTCGGTTAAGGAGAGGAAGCTTCTCAGTTGTGCTCTTTTTGCTATTCAAGTGAGAGAGATGGGTTGTCTCAATTGTTTTAATGTTTTTCATGCACCTCTCAGCACAGTAATTTTAAGGAAACGATTTCACTTCCTTTCAAGGAAAGCTGTGGCTGGTGAATCATTGTTACGTGTATAACCTGTTGTGCATAGCCTTAGATGGTGGAAAAAGAAAAGCTGGTATTGTTGGGTATGCTATTTAGGCTAATGTTCCTGAACAGGTTGCACTTTTCCTTCCCAATGAAAGTCATAACAGATTTCTTCTTTTTTTTTTTTTTTTAGTTTAGACATCAGTAGCTATGTGACAACATATTTAATCTCTTTTTCTCTGACTCTAGTATAAATACAAGGAAGCATATGAAAAGGCTAAAGGAAAACAGGTTGGTTTCAGAAGCCTGCAGGATGACCCCAAGCTCGTTCACTACATGCATGTTGCAAAGATTCAGTCCGATCGTGAATATAAGAAGGACTATGAGAAGAGCAAGACTGTCTATCACACACCTCCTGACACATTCAGTATCCAGGCTGCAAAAAAGTCTCAGGATGTAGCTTCCACTGCCCACTACAAAAATCTGATCCATCACTACACGTATCTGCCAGATGCTATGGATGTTGAGCTTGCAAAGAACATGATGCAAATTCAGAGCAATGTGAGTATTTCAGTGGCTGCTGTCTCACTGATGTTTTCCTACACAAATAAACATAAAATAGGTATTTTTATTCAGTGAAATTTGCCATCACTGTATGGGAATGGTTTGTTTTCATTATGTCCTGGGGACCAGCATTAGAAGCTTTAAGTATCAGCTGGTGGAATTTAGAAGTACCACATTCCAGGTGAGTCGCACTCAAAAGGATTTTGATGGTGGCATGCCTCTGAAGAGCAGCTTTTTGGAATATGGCATGCAAATGAATTTATTTTCTTTTTACATTTTTTTCAGAGAGCTTTTATTTTGCAACTAACATAATTTGGTTTTATTCTTTAAGACTTTCAAGTTTCCCTGTTTTGTCTTTGCGTGAGGCAGATGTGGTAGTGTAGGTGGACTGCAAGCCAATAGCATGATGGAGGGAACAAACTAGCTATTGGTTGCATTTGGGATACCAGGAATACCAGGGATACCTCCTCTGGAGATCTGTAGCATAGGAGATTTCTTGCAGGACTGTCTTGGTTGTTCTTGCAGATACAGAGTTTGAAATGATTGAGCATACCAGGTTGCACTCTGCAGTTGTTTGGATGCTGTGGAGTTTCCCTCTCTCTATTTCTGTGAAGAATGGCTGCTCTTAAATTTAGACCATGGAAGGGGTTTAGAAATGTCTGTAATATTCTTGCATTCAGGCTGTTTGCTGACTGCATCTCAATGTCAATATTGATACTTTGTGTATTACCTGCTTAATTGTAGCCTGGGTAGATTTTTTTACTTGAAGCCTCTAGATGTAAATTCTGCATATTTCACTGGAGAAGGAATTATAGGAGGAAAAAAAATTAAGTCTCTGCTCTGCGGACCTTTGTGTAAAAGACCAGCTCTGATAAAGACTGCTGGAACACAGACCAAACTGAACTGTGGTCAGTGAACACCTTATTTTAGTTTAGAAGTTATTAATGATTGGAGATTGGTGGAATTTTTCACAAGGGTAGGAGAAAAGAAGCTTAGTAAATACTGAAAGTTATTAATGTTTATAAGAAATAAATGAGGAGGAAAAAATACAGTAGCTTACTTTCTTACTTATGAAATGACAGAAATGAAAATAAAAAAATAATAACTTGTTATTGCCTTTCAGAATTTATAAGATATTCCTGCTAATGTAGAACATAGGAGTGAGGCTCTGTGACTATTGCTTAAACAGTTCCGTGGGATAATCTTGGTTCATGTTGTCTTTCTGTCCTTCAGAATGTATACAAACAAGACTATAACAGTTGGTTCAAGGGTATTGGATGGAGTCCTCTCGGCTCTCTGGACGTGGAAACAGCTAAAAAGGCTGGGGATGCATTAAATGAGAAGAGGTACCGTCAGCACCCAGACACCATCAAGTTTACCAGTGTGCCAGACTCAGTGACAATGGTTTTAGCTCAGCACAACACCAAGCAACTGAGTGATGTAAGTAATTGTTTGTTACTGATGCAATATGGAGGTTTTATTTCTTACCATGGGTTTATGACTCTTCTATCTCATGTTCCATCTTAGAAACTGTAGAATTTAAAAAATGTACAAATAGTAAAATTGTAATTTGTTGGTAGGAATTAAGGGCAGTTGTTTTGTCTCTTTGTTAATACTAATATTACTTGCTGTGTTCTTATTAACAGAGAGGTTTGTTTGTTTTGCTGTGCAGGTAGCATATAAGCAAGAGGGTGAAAAAGTAAAGCACAAATACAAGCTTGATCCTGATGTCCCTCAGTTTATTCAAGCAAGGGTCAACGCCTTCAATTTAAGTGATGTGAGTATGCAACCAATAGTGCATTCAATAATAAATTCATCATTTCTTAATAGAAAAATGACTTTTTGTATCTTCATGCTATGATACTGAATACAGAAATGTGCAAGCTCTCTGTTCAGGTGAGCCACTACTGGTAGAAGTCAATGGGTTTTACACCTGTTAAGCAAATGTTTAATTGTGTCTTTGAGCACTGCTGAACGTGAAGGCATTTCAGTGATCTGTTGGCAGACTGGTGGGAGAGCCTGACTGAGGATAAGGTCATGACTTTTATTATTCAAATGCATATGGCTTTGGAAGCTAACGTTCCTCACTGTTGTACAAAACGTGTTGCAGAGGAAAGCAGTGCAGCTTCTCTGTGTGTTTTGCCTCCTGCTGCTGAGCTTTCAAAGGAAACATGAGAAACGTAAAGAAGTAATGCTTTTTTCCTGTTGTTCAGCTCTCAGTCTGACTGCTTTCCACTCCTGTTTTGCATCTGTCCAAGAAAGTAAGGATCTCCACTGATAGTTTTATTACCATTCTGATGATACATCTTTTGGTGGCGTTATCAGGCCTCCAGGAGTTAAAATTAGAAATAGATGTATCCTTTCATTCCATCCTTTGAAAAGCCATGGAATACTGTTAGTCTGTCCAGATTCTAACCCCTAATTAGAAATCAGCCAGGCTGCTTCCTTCAAACCAGAGGTCTTGATTTTGAAGCTCATAGGAAAAAAAATTGCTTGAAGGTTCAGTGAAGTCAAAAAGGAAGTGAAAAAGTTACAAAGGGCAAAAATTCTGCTGATTGAGTTGTTCTGTATGGAAACTGAAAAAAAAACTGAGTTAAAGATTTAGTTACATGCATTAAACTGATTGTCTTGAACTATGGTTGTAGTAAATTTGTCGTGATACAGCTGCAGGTTGTGTAGAGGTTAGCATTTCTCCTTGCAATTGCACAGACTGATGTTTTGATCACCATTAATACAATAAAAATTAAGACTTAGACATGTTAATATTTCCTACTGTGACACTCCTGACTTATCTATGTTTTCCCATAAGGCTAACTACAAAGCAGACTGGAAAAAAACCATTGCCAAAGGATACGATCTGAAACCAGATGCCATTCCTATTATTGCTGCTAAAGCATCTCGAAATATTGCAAGTGATGTAAGTATGTTTTGCATAAGAGGAGTGCAAAAGTCTGTTGCCTTCTTTCTGGAGCACATCATGCTACAGAGCATGTGCTATGTACGTGTAATGATGTATAAACACTTGACACCGGGTGTTGAAATTCTGATGGTACAAGAAAATTCAGGTGTTCATGTGAACCTGAAGAAAAAAAGGTATTTCTTTGGAGTTATGTTTTAATGTGACTGCTGGTCAGCTGGGGCTGTGTTATATACCCTTAAAGTCCACCAGCTTCTTTGATAGTTTCTGTGTGACAGCTTGTCTAAGCTGTGTTCTTAGCTGCCATTTGAACAGACCTGTACATGTGAAGACCTGTACATCTACTTGTCTGACATTCATGAACTGTACAAATATGTGGCTCTTCTCAGGCAGCTTCAGTCATTTGGCCACGTTAAAGTTTGGTGTGCCATCTGAAGCAAGCTGTGAAAGGAGATTTGAAACGCAGGAATAAATTTACTAACTTCTGTAAAAGGCTGGAAATGAATTCTGTTTGAATTTCAGCGTCTTAAAGTTATCAATTGTATGTTTTGTATTTCCAAAGTAGATAAAGATTTCTTTTGCTTTGTCTCTAGTACAAGTACAAGGAATCGTACGAGAAAGATAAAGGCAAACAGGTTGGATACCGCAGCCTGCAGGATGATCCCAAACTTGTTCATTACATGAACGTGGCCAAAATGCAATCAGAGCGTGAATACAAGAAGGATTATGAAGTGACCAAGACCAAATATCACACTCCCCTGGATATGTTCAGTGTGACGGCTGCCAAGAAAGCGCAGGAGGCCGTTACAAACATGGGCTATAAACAGCCCATTCACCATTATACTCTCTTGCCTGATTCTGTGAATCTGGAGCTATCAAGAAACATGATGCAGCTTCAGAGCGATGTATGTAATGGTTAAGCAGCTCACTTTTTTCTGTTCAGTATTACTGTGTCACAGTGTTAACCTTTCAAGGCTAGAAAATGAGATTAAGGGTATATCGGATTAAGGGCAGATTGAGATCTGGTCTTGAGCTGGATATTTTCCAGAGGTTGTTGTAAGTATGTGCAGTTGATAAGTTCTAGGGAACCTAGATAACTTTCTTTGTGTCTCCATGTATTTGACTGCTCAGCAAATTAATGTCCTGAGACAGATCCTTTGTATTCTTTTTCACTGATGCAGATCTGATCAACTCCCTCATATTTCTAACATTGTTCCACTGTTTTTCAGCATTTTCATACCTTTATCTGCTATAAAAGCCACTTTATAAAGTATGTTTAAATAGAAATGGTGTCTCTTCAGGAGGTATAGAACCAGGCCACCAAGCAGAAGCTTTAGAAAAAGACTCACAGTGAATTAGTTCCACTGTGAACTGAGCTGATTAACCAAGAGTGTCATTAAAAGAACTGAGTTTGTTTTTGGCAGTTTTTCATATTTACTGCTCAAAGTTTGTGTGAAAGTCTGTGCATCTGTTACGTAGTGTGAGTTCTGAATGTTGGGTTAGTGAAAATAGTTTCTTTATCCCTAATGATTTTTAGTGTTTTGCTGAGTAGTTGGAAAACATCAGTGGTTTTGGCAAGCTTGTGTAAACTCTACTTAAAAATGAATGGCCAGGAGGAGGTTTAAGGCCTCATCTGTTTGTGTTGGTTTATTTTCTGTATGTATGGGCATTCTGATTTCCCTCATCTCGCTGTTTTGCCTTGTTTATTTCTTAAAAGAACGTGTACAAAGCAGACTTTAATAACTGGCTGAGAGGAGTTGGCTGGCTGCCGATTCAATCCTTGGATGTAGAAAAGGCCAAAAAAGCTTCAGATATTCTCAGCGAAAAGAAATATCGCCAGCACCCCGACAAGCTGAAGTACTCTATTCCACTGGATGCAATGGAGCAAGTGCTAGCTAGACAAAATGCCAAGACTATGAATAAGGTGAGAGCTTGTTCAGGTGATCACAGCTAAGCCATGAGTCTTCATCTTGCAAAATGTGCAACAGTTGCATTCCCTTGGAGCTCGTAAGAATTTCCGGTGGGTACATTGGTATAGTTGGTCAACATTGGACACTAAGAGTTAATAGAAGCCTCAGTCTGTAAGCATAATTAAGAGAGTTTCATTTCAAGTTCATAAAGATTAAATATTTCACTTCTGTGCCTATGATCAAAACTGTCCTGTGCAGATTTTTAGTGCTTTGGTAACCTTTGCTCTTTTTCTACAGAAAGTAGTGTTGATAGTGAGCTGAACCAAATCCTGTAAAATTCTGTCTGCTTTTGCAAGCATCAGTAAGAAACTGGGAATTGTTTAAGTTTGTTTCTAATTATCTCAAACACCACTGGAACTTATTCTTCGTTTGCTGTGGAAAGAGAGTGTGTGGAAAAAGAACCACCTGTGCTTTGCATTTAAGGATATACATAAAGAAGGGAAGGCTGCAGACTTAAAATTTTCAGTTTAAATATTTAGTAGTTATCAAAAGGTACTTTTCAAGTTTCTCAAATGAAATACTAAAGGAAGATGAGGAATATAATGTTGGCACCCTGCAGTTGTTTGTTATCTTTAGTGCTTATGCGACTTTGTACTGTAAAATATTATTTACTGCACTCGAGCAAAACAGAAGCAAGCTTGTATTTTGTAAGTGTAATTTCAATGCTATGTCTTTGTAATTGCAGAGGCTCTACACTGATAAATGGAATAAAGAGAAGACCAGCATTCATGTTATGCCAGATACTCCAGAAATTCTGCAGTCTAGAGTGAACCAGATCACAATGAGTAATGTAAGTTGCTGTGTTCGGTGAGAACATTCAATGTCTGTTGCATAGGTAAAAAATTGGTGTAATTCTTAGGTCTTTTTGGAAAATATTTAGGAGTACTTCAGTACTTCTGCCTTCCTAACAGAGTACCTGTTCTCTTTTCTGTTTTAAATTAGAAACTATACAAAGCTGGATGGGAGGAAGACAAGAAGAAAGGTTATGACATGCGTCCTGATGCTATTCCAATAAAAGCAGCCAAAACTTCCCAGGACATTGCAAGTGATGTAAGTGTGTTTGTCAGCAGCATTCGGAATCTTTTCAGAACCAGTCAGAACTTTGCCCTGTTATACCCAAATATGGCTTCAGTTACATGTTTGCTGCGATAAGCCTTTGCAGTACTTGCTCTCCTAATAATGTGCTTTTTTTTTTTTCTTCTTCTGTCATTGTTTCTCTTTCCTGCTCTCAGCATAAATACAAACTAGCCTATGAAAAAGCAAAAGGAAAGCATATTGGCTTCCGCAGCCTTGAAGACGACCCCAAGCTGGTGCACTTCATGCAGGTGGCTAAGATGCAATCTGATCGTGAATACAAGAAAGATTACGAGAAGGCAAAGACTAACTTCCATACTCCAGTTGACATGCTCAGCGTTGTGGCAGCCAAGAAAGCACAGGAAGTGGCTACAAATACAAACTACAAGAACTTGATCCATATCTACAATGTTTTACCTGATGCTATGAGTCTTGAACTAGCCAAAAACATGATGCAGATACAAAGTAATGTAAGTGAGAGACTCTTCAGCCTTTGCTTTGCCAGTACAATGATGTTTAGTTTATGAGAGAATATGGTAAGATAAATAGAAGATTTTTCTTAGTGAAAATAGTTCAGTTAAGTGCTAAAATGTTGTAAATAAAATGAGACCTCCAACAATGATAGCTATGGTATGTTTTGAAGACTCTGAAATATTGAATTACATTTATCATTTAAAGAATTCAGGCTCAGAGATAATTATGTTTATAGAGTGAAATGGATGCAAGCTGCTTATACATCCTACCACTCCTCAGCAGCTGTCCTTTTCTACAGGGCAAGGCAACGAGAAGCTTCACTTTTCATTAAGTTTTATCTTATACTTCCAAGAAGAATAAGAAAAACAGCTCTGTAGCTGAGTTCTCAGAGTTTCTGGGATATTTAGACTCTAGAGAAGATACACACACACACACATATATATAATATATTATTATTGTTTTATTATAAATGCACTAAAGAAGAACTCCTGAAAAGACACTGGATGTATCTTGATACCGTTTGATTCTTCTTAAAATAAGTGTATTAAAAATCCATTATACATTAAATACAGGAAGATGTGTCAACATCTTCAGACATACATGTGCATCTAATTACTTTCTTCTGCTTCCAGAATCAATACAGAGCAGACTATGATGAAAGTATGAAGGGTGTTGGATGGATGCCACTGGGCTCTCTGGAGGCTGAGAAGAACAAGAAAGCCACGGAAATTCTTAGTGAAAAGAAATACCGTCAGCATCCAGACAAGTTGAAGTATTCTGTTCCTGTGGATTCCATGAATATGGCCTTAGCTTTACATAATGCTAAAATCATGGATGAGGTGAGGAAGTGTTCATCACAACTTATTTAAGTTTTCAGAAATGAGGTATCAGTTACACCTGATGTAGTCTTTTGGGTTAATAACTTCTGCATTTGTCAGCTTGGGCAGCTAATGGAAACGCTTGACCGTCACTGTATTTCATCTTAATAGAGCCAGACTGTATCTTAAAGCACAGCATAACCCTGATAATTTCTTCATAAGGTCTACTCAGCGTTACAGATTGTAGACTTCTAATAGTTTAAGGTTATGGGCTGAAAATATTGGTGAGTCCCTTTTGAAAACAGCATTTAAACTTTTAAACATATGGTCTGCACAGTCTGTATTATCCGATGCCTATTATATCACTGTGGAATTGCTGGTTAACAATAGTGCTCATATATATTGAGATACTGATTTTCTAATTCTGCTGAACTGACAGAATCCACTGCTGTCCTTTAGAAGTGTCTCGTGTTCATGTGCACTGTGTTTGGAGAGATCACCTGAGTTTTAGGTGCCTTTTCTTTATATTTTACTTCTGCTAAGAAAAGGAGGATTTCTCCATCATTTGATGCTTACTTGATATGAGATAGGCTGTTAGCCACCTTGCTTGGAAGGTTATTAGCTTATCCTTTTAACACTTCTTTTTATACCTTCTGACGTGACTTTGATAGCTATTGTTGCCTGTTGAATGTGCTTGAACGCACTGCTGGACAAGAGACAAGCAGTAAAATATTGTAACAAGATTGGTATTTCTTCAACTTCTATTGCAGTCTTGCACAGTTATCTTTGTAAGAGCTAGGTAAAAAAAATGTGGGTGGTCTTACTATACTAACAATTGCATTACTGTAGAGAAAGGTGATACTTAAAAGTAGTTGCAGTTAAAATTTTTTGGTAAACAGGTGATTTTTGCTTTTTTCTTCTAGCACCAATACAAACAAGCATGGGAAGAGGATAAGAAGAAGGTTCACATAACGCCAGATATTCCACAGTTTGCTTTAGCGAAAGCTAATGCATTTAATATAAGTGATGTGAGTACTGTTTGTAAAAAGTTGCTCTTTTTTTTCTTTATTTAAATTAGAAATAGGTAACAGCATAGGAAAGTTTCTGTAATACTGATCTTGTTAACCTGTGTTGGTTCTACAATATGCTATTTTCCTTTTTTCACTGTCCTTCCCTGAAATTAAATACCAAAAGCTGTCAAGAAAAAGCAATGGTATTTATGAACAGGTTATGTAGCATTCATGCAGGTCATTAAAATATAATAATCATTAACAAGATAATACAGTTTGAGCACCATTGATGTTGTTTCTGTATTTATTATTTTATTTTCTAATGCACAGCATTATGTAGTGGATTCAGAGTTCTTTCTGGGAGGTTGAACTTCCTCTTTATGTAACATCATAGACCATTTCTCAGTAGCTGTTTGCTAAATCTGCATATGCTAAATAAAAATTGTAATTGTATGCATCTTTATTTGCATATGAATAAATAATCTCATTTTTAGATGCAAATTTTCACCAGTTTTTGTGCACATGTGAAAGAAATGCAGGTATTTGCTCTTTTGTTTTAGGTACTTTTACTGGTTGTAGTGCAGTTCAGGTGCATTCATTGGTAAATTTAAGGACTGGAGTTAATTTTGAAGGCAAATCCATGTTTTTGTGTGCCTGAATGGCTTAAACAGCTTTTCAAAGAATATTAAACATACGAATAGTCTGTGTCTCAGGCTGACAAATAAAATGTATACAGTGTGACTTCTTTTTAAGTACATGTTTTGTTTTTTGCATTTTTAAGGGATGTCTTTTCTTTCCTTTCACAGAAAATGTATAGACATTCTTTTGAAGAAGCCAGAAAGAAGGGGTACGATCTCAGATCTGATGCTATCCCTATTAAAGCTGCCAAAGCTTCTAGGGACATTGCTAGTGATGTAAGTTCTGGAAAAAAAACAACGATCAATTTCATTTTCTTGGCACAACTCAATATGCCAGTTCTATGAAGGCTGTTTATTCTCTTGTTTGTAAATAATTCTGATATGTTTTAATGCATTTCCTAGCATGGTTAAAGTACAAATTCTCCATTAGGAGGGTAAGGAGATGCATGGAAGACTCTCAGGAGAAAGGTATACACATGTTAGTCTTGCAAGAATTGGAAAAGAACAAATATAGCCTTGAATTACTCTTGCTTCTGGGATGTTCTTTTAGTGATAGCCTTATTAAGTTTCATCTTTAAACTGAATGCAGAGAATACAAGTTTCTGGAATCGTGACCATTCTGAAATCCTTTGTGTATCAGTGACAAGGGTTTTCCTGTGGTGAAACCAGCCTGGGAGAGCAGTGAAATTAGGGCCTAAGGACACGTTATTTTTTTAGCCTTCTGTCTTTTTTTGGCAACATATGAGATGGAGCAGCCACTGAAAAATCAATTTGCTCCACCACTGCTCTAAGTGTGAGGGCTGTACAGTCCCTCCGTTCTCACCAGGTAGTAAGCAATCAAGGAAAATGGAACTGATGGTTGGTCTGTGAAGTCCATGGTCCAGAGCTGGTTAGAGATTGAGGAAGGATTTAATAAATCAACCCAGTGGTTTTATAAATTAAACAAATGCAATAAGATCCTGTGTATCTTGAAATCACGATTCATTTGAGCAAATTAACTTCATGGAAGTGCCATACTGATCTGTTGGTTTATGTCCAGTCTTTAGATACAAATTCAGGTTTTCTGATCGTGGCTCAGACTATCACTAAGGTCGTTACTCAAGCTGAATAGTGGTAGTAGTACAAACATAATGACAGAGAGCACTGTGGGCTGAGGCATCTTGCTTTCTAATGCTTGTGATAGTTCATCTTAGAGCTAGTAAGGTTAGAATCATAGAATAGAATCATAGAATCACTAAGGTTGGAAAAGACCTAAAAGATCACCCAGTCCGACCGTTCACCTATTCCCAATAGCTCCTACTAAACCATGTCCCTCAACGCAACATCCAGTCTTTCCTTGAACACCCCCAGGGTCGGGTTATCTCTAAGCTCTAGTGTAGAAAGAACAAGTTCATGTTTTCCAAAGGACTACCTTCAGATCTACTGTGTTGGTTTGGGTTTTTGTCAGTCTGCTTCATATTCTCGTTGTACCATTTATGATGAGGTTAGAAAGCAAGCGCATCCCGAGTTACATTGAACCCCATGCAAAAGCAAAATAAAGTAGCTTATGGAAATTGCATTTCTCAAGAAAATGTTTTATGAATACTGGATTTGATGGGGCCCTCATAGAATTTTGATGCTTGTTAAGCACTGTGACGAGAAGCAGACAGAACTACCACCTCCATATTCTTAGTGTTTGTTTAATAATGTAAAAATTCTAATTTTTTTTTTCCTTACAAGGTAGATATTGCTTGTTAAACAAATGAAGTAGGACTAAAATCTCTGTCTCTGTTCTCTGCACAGTATAAATACAAATTAGGTTATGAGCAAGACAAGGGAAAGCTTGTAGGCTTCCGCAGCCTTCAGGATGATCCTAAACTTGTCCATTATATGCAAGTGGCAAAGATGCAGTCTGATCGTGAATACAAGAAGGCCTACGAGGCAAGCAAGACTCATTACCAAACACCTTCTGATTCACTCAGTATCATGGCAGCTAAGGAGGCACAAGATCGTGTAACCAATGCAAACTACAAACGACTGATACACCACTATATGCTTCTGCCGGATGCAATGAGTTTTGAATTGTACAGGAACATGAATCAGATACAAAGTAATGTAAGTTTCTGTTTTCTTTTTTCTCATTATTGTTCACATCTATGCCTGTTTTCTTCTTTCCTCATTTTAAGTGTTTTGGAAAGAAGAATAATTTAGTGTGAGCCATTTGTAAGTTGTAATCTTCGCTTTTGTTTCCTGGCTGGCAGAATGAATACAAACAAGATTACAATGAATGGTTCAAAGGTATTGGTTGGAGTCCTGCTGGTTCTCTGGATGTGGAGAAATCTAAGAAAGCTACAGAAATTGCAAGTGACCGGAAATACCGACAGCATCCCAGCACGTTTTCTTTTACAAAAGACACTGATGCCATGGATATGGTTCTTGCAAAGCACAACGCAGATATAATGAATAAAGTGAGTTTTTATGGGGAACATTTGTCAGACATTCATATATAACTAATAAACTTTGTATAAATCTCTGTCACTACTTTTATGTAGCAGTGTTACTCCAGGGAAAAATGACTATTGCTGAAAGATGGCTCCTTTTTCAAAATTTTTCTGAATTGAAATACTCAGTTACTGCTAAGAGGCATTGATTAAATCAATCTTTTGCTCATTTTTTTTCATTGCTATCTCTCCAGCATCTGTTTTTCTCATATTTACATGGCAATTACTGATGTTAAATCTTGGTGGGTAGGCCTCAACGAAAGCAAGACTGGATCCTGATTTGACCAATTCTGGATTGAGTCATCACATAATGAAATAAATCTAAGTTAACATCTTCTGCTTTTTACCCATCTGTAATCAAAGTGTGCAGACAGAAGGGTGAAAACCCTGTAAGAGCTGGCCTTTGTCACCTATACTAATAATCTGATGGTCCTTTTTTCAATAGCATGCTTATACTCAGGCCTGGGAAAAGGATAAAACTCAAGTTCACGTGATGCCAGATACACCAGATATCCTACAGGCAAAACAGAACAAGGCGAACTACAGTCAGGTAGAGCTTTTTAATGCTTTCTTTTACATTTCAAACTAATGTTAAATTAGTCTACTTCCAATTTCAAGGTGTTCTTTCATTTCAAAATAAATATCTAAGTAGAAGGTGGCGTATGTATTAATGAGGCTTTTTAATCAAAGTTGTTCTCAATTTTAGAAACATTACAAGCTCGGCTGGGAGGAAATGATTAAGAAGGGCTATGACCTCACACCTGAAGCCATTTCAGTGAAAGCTGCCAAAGCTTCAAGGGACATTGCAAGCGACGTAAGCAACATTTATTTCTGTCTGAAGTGGACTCTTATGTGGACCCCTCTGTAAAAGAGTGACTTGTAGTTTAAAAAACAACAACAAAAAAATTGCTGATAAAAACATTTAAAAACATTCCTGGTCCATTTTTGTCAGTGAAGATAACATTTTAAGGAGAGTGATTCTTATATTTTGGCACTTCAAAAAGATTGTGGTCCATCCATGAAGTGGCTGGTCATAGGAAGTTAGGAGCAATTTGAACTGAATTGTCTGCTTCTTTTGGATGTTATGTCTTCAGTGCATCAGGAAGTCGGTCCCAGTGCCTCTACTTTGAAATCCTCTTTACAACTCAGAAGTAGATATGGTGACACGTCTTGTTGTTATTTTCCGTAACTTGATATTAATATCAACTCCTGTATTTATGGAGGAGATTTCATCAGTCATTGGACACGTGGTCAATGCTTAAGCTGATTGTTTATTTATCAAAATAGTGCAGTGTGACAGCCTTTGGGCTGTGACTATATACATCAGTGGCACAGGAGACCACTGTTAGAGCCATGCACTCTTCCTCTCCAGGGAAGTCAGTTTGTTCCCAGAGAAGACATTCACAGACACAAATGATGCACATGAATTGAGGGGCTGCTGTCTTTACGTGAAATGCCATAGCAAGTTGCTTATTTCATTGGTAATGAGGAGCATTGAACTGAGTGAATATATTTGCCTTATGCATTTTATCACTGCCTGATTCTTACTGCATTTCAATAATACAATATTTATAATTTTAGTACAAGTACAAAGAGGGTTACCGCAAGCAGCAGGGACATCACATTGGATTCCGGAGCTTACAGGATGATCCGAAGATGATGTGGTCTATGCAAGTAGCTAAAATGCAGAGCGAGAGGGAGTATAAGAAAGATTTTGAAAAGTGGAAGACAAAGTTTAACATGCCTGTGGATATGTTAGGCTTCCTTCTGGCTAAGAAGTGTCAAGAATTGGTTAGTGATGTAGACTACAAACACATGCTACACCGCTGGACTTGTCTACCAGACCAAAATGATGTCACCCAAGCAAAGAGGGTCTACGAACTGCAGAGTGATGTAAGTCTTCTCTGAGTTTGGTTTCTTTATTTTATGTAAAATATTAACTACTTGTTGAAAAGTGTCTTCAGTAACTCACTCTTGACAGCACTGAAGTTCAAATTGAGGATAATACGCCAGTTAGTCTCTTAATACGGTTTAATACATGGGCAGTGAAAGAATCTATACTATGGTTTTTATTTATTTATTTATTCCTTACCAGAATCTGTACAAGTCAGATCTGCAGTGGCTCAGAGGCATTGGATGGAGTCCTTTGGGATCTTTGGAGTCTGAAAAGAACAAGAAAGCTTCTGAAATACTAAGTGAAAAGAAGTACCGGCAGCACCCAGATACTATTAAGTTCACAAGTATCCCAGATGCCATGAATATCACCTTAGCAAAATCTAATGCCAAAAATAGAAGTGATGTAAGTTGCTTTGGATCCAGTAAATGAATTAGTATACATTTGTTATAAAGATTGCCCTACCAGAATGCAATTAAAATATACAGGTGTCCAGTGTTTGCAGTCTGTGGCTTACTGTTCAATGGTGTCTTATTCAGCATATTTGTGTCTTTGTTATCTAATTTATTCAGAAACAACTGCAATTAGAATCCTTACTGTAGTATGTCAGTTTATTGACATAATGCTGTCTCCTTGACCCTTCATGCATGTAAAAAAGGGAAAAAGGTATTTCAGTAAGAAGTTGATGTACTGTTTTACTTAAATATCTTGCATTGTTAAGTCACTCCTTCATGTTCACACATCACTGATGTGTTATTGTAGAGAAAAGGTAAGCTGCCATGCGTATGAACCAGTTTTATTCATGTCTCCCTTCAGATACTGTATAGAGAGGCTTGGGACAAGGACAAAACTCAGGTTCATATCATGCCAGATACTCCTGAAATTTTGTTGGCTAAATCAAACTTAATCAACACAAGTGATGTAAGTATGTCTCTATAATGTTTGTTCTATGCAATTTGGATTTACCCTTTATGGCCGTAGTTTAAAATGGAGTGGAGCAGTTTCAGCAATCTAACGATTGTTATCCTACCTGTTAAAATTGTTATGCATTGGGACACTGAGCAAATTGCTGAATTCTAAGGTGGAAGTGAAATTGCTAGAAAAGAAAGCAAACCAAGAAGATAAGGCAAGTTTGATGCTTTCTCTTTCATCCTTATGGATCGTGTTGACATTATAGTTGTAAGTTCAATAGTTTTTAATAAGACTGTCATTCTTGTCTTGATAGAAGTCTAATTATATCTTCTTAGAGTTATTTAGTTACTTTACATGAAATTCTTTGTATAGTGGAGCAAATATCAGCTACATGTAAACAGTAAAGAAACATTAGCAGTTGTATCATAAGAAGTCTGGAAGATAAGTAATTATCGTTGAAATGGAGTGCAGCAGGCCATGGGGCTGTATTATTCACCTCAGTAGAAGACTATTATTTACTCAGACTTATATTTCTAGTACAGATTTGCCCTCAGATGAGTTAATCAGGAAAAAATAAAGTTGGTTTGATGTATTTCATATTATCAGTTACAAAATATACATTGTGTAAGCTATGGAACGAGACCATATTTGAAATCTCATTCTTTGTTTTTAGTAATCGATGGAATAAAAAGGTAGTACTGTGTGGGTTAGATCAGCTTACCGTTTTTCCATATTGGAAAATACTCCACAGCTTTAATTTACTTTACTCTAATTACTTTAATTTTAACAATTACTTCAATAATAATTTCAATTATTTTAATAACACTTACTTTAAATTCTTCTCCAACAGAAACATTACAAGTTAGGATATGAAGAGCTGAGGAGGAAAGGCTATGATCTTCCTCCTGATGCCATACCACTCAAGGCAGCGAAGGCATCCAGAGACATCGCCAGTGAAGTAAGAGTCTGAGTGAAAATAGTGGTGTGCCATGGAACTGGTAAAGATTACTGGTGAATGATGACTGATTAAAAGATGGACAGATCTGTGATTTAAGAGACTAAAAGTCTCTTGGTTAAACAGCAATGTCTACTTCCTTGTTATATAAAGTTAATTGCATTGAGTAAAATAATTTATAAGAAAAAATAATGTCACTATAGAAATTACTGTAAAATATTCAATAAATAAATACTGTAAATATAGTCAGAATGTATAATATCTTTCAATATATCATTTATTTCAAAAATTAACAACTCTAACAATAGAGAACTTCAAATTACTTCTTGAAAACATTGTGGTTTCTGCATTCATTTAGTATCAGTACAAAACAGCATACCGCAAGCAGCTGGGCCACCACATTGGAGCGCGCAACATCGAGGA